CACACACACACACACACACACACACACACACACACACACACACACACACACACTAATAAAATGGCACCCCACCCCCACTTTCTGATTTTGTAAATTTGTTTTGATTTTCTGTGGCTGGCCTCTAACTCATGGTGATGCTCCTGAGTGCTGAGATTAAAGGTGTTTGTCACCATGTCCAGCTTACTGCCATGATGCTTCTGGTATAGTCTTCCCTTCAGGCCCCTCAGACCCCGCCCTCCCCGACAGCACCCACCTGTCAAAGGCCTTCACCCGTCCCAGAAGCTTCTTGTTGTTGCGACAGTTAATGAGCACCTGTGTGTTGTTCTTGACTGACTGCGTGAGCACCGAGAGGGGACCTGTGTTGAATTCCTCCTCCTCCCGCTTCTGCAGCTCCTCTGGGGTCATCTCACTCTTGGGTTTATTGAGGAGACTCCTGAGCAGAGAACCCATGCGTGAGATAGGTTCAGGTTGGAAGTGTGAGTGGTCACAGTCACTGTCCGGTGTGTCCTCAACCTGGCCCCCCAACACCCTCCCTGGTCAGTCTTTTCTGGAGGTAGGAGAGACACTTCCAGTTTAGTCTGCTCCAGCTCCTCTAACCACACCTCTTCCACCCACTTCATTGATGGCAACTCCATTCAGTGGCTTCTCTAAGCTAAACTACTGTTTAATTGATTTCTGTTTTGGGGACAGGATCTCATATAGCTCAGGCTAGCCTTGAACTTGCTCTGTAACTAAGGATGACCTTCAATTCTCAATTCTCCTGACACCACCTCCCAAGTTCTGGGATTACAAGGGTTCACCATCATTCCTGGCATTCGATTCTTCTCTAACAACTTACAGCAAGCCTACCCTCACATCTTGTCATCTACCTCTACAATATATCTAAAACCTGGCCGTTTCTATCCATGGCCTAAACTTCCATCACCTCTCTCCTGGTGCCCCACCCCCATAACATCTAACTATGTAACCCTGGCTGGCCTGGGGCTCAAGCTGTCTGTCCCTGCCTCTAGAGTGCTGGGATTAACGGCATGTGCTACCATGCCCGGTTTGTGTGGCGCTGATGACTGAACCCAGTACTGGTAGCCAAGTACTCGTCCACAGAGCTGTAACTCCAGCCCAAGGATTTCACTCTTAGTGTGTCCTTTTGTGCTAGCGACTCAATGTCTTCATTCAAGCTCTTGATCATCTAACACACTGTATACACCCATTCATTACTCTATGGCCTCCCTACCCATTCCTTTTACAAGTCCCAGTGAGATTTTTCACGCCTCTTGGGGGCAAGGACCTTTTATTCACCATGTGTCTTAACTTATAAGCTGTCTATGTAATATCTGCTCAATGAATTAACACACCAAACCACCGCAGTAGCTTGCTACTCTAACAGTCTCTAATTAGGTCGAAAAGCCGCATACCTGTTCTCTAATTTATCCTGGTTAAGTCTCTCGTTATTATTATTTTTTTTCCTAGAGCCCTGCACTATTTTTATTCTTTATCCATTATACCACTCCCATTTAAAACTACTATTTCTTTTGGAAACTGTCTCGCTGTGAACCGTGCCACGAACTAGCGATCCTCCTGCCTCAGCCTGGGACTCTAGGCATGAACCACCAGGCTCAGCTTTCCTCTTACAGTCCATTTTCACAGGACTCAGTACCTGGGAGAGTCCTAAGCCCATTGAAGGAATAAAGCCGTCCCCCTCCGGAACTCATGATCCGCCCAAGGCCCCACGCCCGGTCTCAAGCACCGCAGGAGAAAACACACTACGTTCGCTTGAAGGACTCTGCCCCCCGGCTACGAACACCCCATTCCCACCGTTAACCTGCTACACTGACCCCCTCCGCCCTCGTGACCCCGCCGAAGCCCAGCCCGGCCTCACATGGTGGAGGTTTCGCTCGCAGATCACTCCCGCCTCCACCGCGTTGCTCGGGCCGCCGGAGTCGAGCGAGGGGAGGGCGGGACTTCCGCCGCCTGCGGCTCACTTCCGCCAGCGCCTGCGCAACCCACAGCAGAGGGTGTGGGCGTGCCCTGTTGCCATAGTGACCCATCCGCTGGCGGCTGCCGTTGGAAATGCCTGGGGGTGGAAGGATTCGAGGCCATTGAGGATCACAATAGGGGGTCTCTGCTCCCGACTAGGAGGGGAAAACAAAAGGGGGCCTGACTTGAGTTATTCCCTGTCCAACAGTCGATGTGGAGGAAGGGAACGCAATACCGTTTCCAAACAGCCGCCGACACGCTGTTCCCATGGGGGCGTGGCTTCGGGCAAGCCAATCGACGCCTTGCTTTAGGGGTTGGTGCCGCCCCTTTTTCCTGGAGCGACGGTTCCTGGATGTGTTTCTTGAGCGACATTGTGAGGGGCGTGGCTCCGCGCCGGCGAGAGCGGTTTCACACAGTCAGACGCACGTCATTGGCTGATCCTCTCCGTGGGGGCGGGCCCTAGGGTTTCCGCGCTGCCTTTTGGGTTGTACGACGTTTAGTACAGCCAATCGCAGTCACTTGGGGGACGAAGCAGCCACTCTCCTTGTTTATGGTTTTTTTTTTTTAATCCACAATGGGCGGATCTTGGCCTAAACTCAAACCCCAGTCCAGGGACTGGTTTCAGGGCGAAGCTGCCATGCTCTCCGGGAGCCGCGGGCGGCCCCGGCAGCGGCTCGGGGATCGGGGCTTCATGCAACCGCCCGCACTTTCCAAGCGCCGCCTGCTGCCGCGAGTGCGGCTCCTGCCTCTGCTACTGTTGGCGCTGGCCCTGGGCTTGGCTTTCTACGTCGTCTGGTACGGCTGGAACCCGGGATTTGAAGAGCTGTCACGGAGCCGGGATCTGCGGGTGAGGCCTGGCTGGGGCCCGGGCACGGTCGTTCCTTCATTTCCTTTCCTATAGACTCTCAGGTTAACGTGGCTGTATCGTATGGCCCTGGTCTCAGGTGCCATCTCCTTTTCCATCGTTTGAGCGCATGCCCCTTCCCAACAGAATGAGGCTTCCGGCTTGTTTTGTAATAGCCCTTTCTGAGCATGAAGGGTCAGCATAGCAACACGGGTAGATTGGAGTTCTACGCCCAAGCCATCTATTTCAAAGAATCTCCATCACCCGGTTTTCGATTTCCCCGTCAGGACTGCAAGTAGGATGGACCCGATTTGCTTCCAAGACTTTCTCCCAATCTAGGATATACCCTCCAAGTCTTTGACGCATCACCCAGAAGAGTCAGGGCTCCTAGGGGGGCAAGGGCGCCCAGGAGAGGGTGGGAATGGGGTTGTCTTCATTTTTCTTTTCCCCATCCCATTTCCCAACCAAGGCCCCGCTGATCGGAAGCCTTCCAGAAGCCAAGCTGCGGAGGGTGGTAGGGCAGCTGGATCCGCAGCGTCTCTGGGGGACTTTCCTGCGCCCCCTGCTGATTGTGCGACCCCCAGGTAGTCCTGGCAATGTCCAAGTGAGAAAGGTAAAGGGTCTTATTTCCCATCCTAAACTCCTTTCCCCAGCCTGTCAGGAAATGGAACTCAGGCATCTAAGAATCCAGGAACAGCCAGGAGGCAGACTGGGCTCTGATGCGGGGGAGGTGTGTGAACCAGACTAGATTCTCACGGTGTGCACAAATCCCAAACTATACAACCCCTGCCAAGAGCGTCTGTGTATTTAGGCACAGCAATGTATTGTCTGGTGAGATTGAAATCAATATGATCTCCACTATACAGATGGAGAAATTGAGGCCCAGGGGAGTTATTACATTTAGTTATTACATAGTTGTTCAAATTCCCACAGCTACTTGAGGTTAGAATACAAGGTCAGCTTCAGAATGGGTGGTGTAACATTGCTTTGTTGCCATTTAGACACTGCATTTAGGATCCACCTTAGTTGGACTAGTTTTCTTAACCTCTCTGGGACTCAGTTTTCTCATCTGCAAAATGGGGACATTCACTGACATTGTTAACTTCATAGGGATTGTAGAACAGGCTTGGCACAGAGTGAGAGCTTTTTAAGTCAGACCTTGTCTCAACAGGAGAGCACTTGCATAGAATCCACCAATGTGAGACTGGGGGTGTGGCTCAGTGGTAGAAGACTTGCCTAGTATCCACCAGTGTGGGGTTGGGGCTGTGTCAACAGCATGCGGGAAATCCTGGGTCAGTCCTCACCACCATGCAGAGGGAGAGGGTGGAAGTGAGTTATTTGAAGGCCACCCTAGATGTGATTTTGGAAGAATCAACATGGAGAGAGAGAGACAGAGAGAGACAGAGAGACAGAGACAGAGAAAACTGTCCATAGCTGGGTATGGTGGTGGCCTGGGTCTATAATCCTTTCAGGAAGCAGAAGCTTGACCTAGGGTTCTAGGACAGCCTCAGCTACACAGCAAGTTGGAGGCTAGCCTGGACTACAAAGCCTGAAGTCTTGTTGCTATCAAGAGGTGTGGTTACCCACATCTGGCACACAGTTGTTCATCAGCAAAAGCCCAAGTGGGACTCTCTAATCACCCAGACTGCTCTGCGTGGCTCCAGTCACATGACCCTTCTCCCCACCTCCTGCCCAGTCCCCGTCCACCCTCCTGCCTCTCTCTCTTGCCACTAGTTCCTGGAGGCCACGCTGCGGTCCCTATCAGCAGGCTGGCACGTGGAACTGGACCCCTTCACAGCTTCAACACCCTTGGGGCCACTGGACTTCGGGAACGTGGTGGCCACACTTGACCCGGGAGCTGCCCGTCACCTCACCCTTGCCTGCCATTACGACTCTAAGTTCTTCCCTCCTGGGTCACCCCCTTTCGTGGGGGCCACAGATTCGGCAGTACCCTGTGCCCTGCTTCTGGAGCTGGTCCAGGCCTTTGATGTGATGCTGCGCAGATTCAAGAAGCAGGTGAGAGTTGGGGAAGGTGGACTGTCACTGCCCACATCATCACTTTCTTCTGTCATTCTTTTCTTTTTTGAAATAGGGTTTCACCAGAGTGTAGCCCAAGCTGGCCTTGAACTCAGCCCTTCTTCTGCATCACCTTTCCAAGCAGTGGGGTGGCAGGTACACGCCACATACCCCACCTTTGTTTTTTCCCACCTCCACTGTCCTCTTTGTTTCCCAGCGTATGCTCTACGCACTGAGACACAAGGTCTCATGTAGGCCACACTAGCATCAAACTCAAGAATTTGAACTTGAATTTCTGACCGTCTTGCCTCCATCTCCTGAGAGCTGGCATTATAGCCATACATGCATGCCTCAGTTAGGGTTTCTATGGCTGTGAAGAGACACCATGACCATGGCAACTCTTATAAAGGGAAACATTTAATTGGGGCTGGCCTACAGTTTCAGAGGGCCAGTCCCTTATTGTCGTGGCGGTGACGTGGGGGCATGCGGGTAGACAGGTGCTGGAGCAGGAGCTGAGAGGTCTACATCTTGATCCACAGGCAACAGGAAGTGAACTGTGTCCCATACTGAGTGTAGCTTGAGCATGGGAGACCTCGGAGCCCACCCCACAGTAACACACTTCCTCCAGCAAGGCCATACCCACCCCAACAAAGCCACACCTCTACTCCCCATGGGGGCCATTTTCTTTCCAGCCACCATATATATTCCCTGCCTGGGGTACCAGGACTGGAGTACTGCTGTGGTAGGTCTGATCATGTTTCTGGGAGTTTGAGTCAGGAAAGCAGTGGAATGCTCTAAGCACTGCTCAATGGGCCAGACTGAGTAGGAGTGTGGAAGACATTGGTGCTGAGTGTGATCTGATGAACTGTACGAGCCTTCACAGAGGCTTCAGAGGAGAGGAATATTAATATGTGTCTACAGTTTGTTCTTGTGATATTTTGATGAAGAATGTGGCTACTTTTTGCCCTTGTCCAAAGAGTGAGTCTGAGGCTAAAATGAAGAGTTTTGGATTAATTCCGTTGGCAGAGGACATCTCAAAACAGCCCACTATAGACTCTGTCATGTGGTTACTCATGTTAACTCTGGGGTTTGTTTGTTTTTTGTTTTCTTTTTGATTTTTTAGTTTTGTAGTTTTAGTGCCTTTCCTGGATCTCGCTCTGTAGACTAGGTTGGCCTTGAACTCACCGAGATCTGCTTGGCTCTGCCTCCCGAGTGCTGGGATTAAAGGTGTGCGCCACCACTGCCTGGCTTATGTTAACTCTTATGAAGATTTATAATGATAAAGAGCAAATTGAGAAAGGAAAAATACAAAATGTACAGAATGAGGAGAAAAGGGGCACCAGAAGTGGGATAGAGCTAAATTCTGTGTTCAAGGAGATAAACAGATTAAGAAATAGATTAGGGCTGGAGAGATGGCTCAGAGGTTAAGAGCACTGACTGCTCTTCCAGAGGTCCTCAGTTCAATTCCCAGCAACCACATGGTGGCTCACAATTATCTATCATGAGATCTGGTGCCCTCTTCTGGCCTGCAGTCACATATGCTGTATACATAAATACATAAATAAATAAATAAATAAATAAATCTTAAAAAAAAAAAAAGAAATAGATTAAAGGGAGTAGTGACCTCAGGGCAAGATGCCACCCAGCTACGTTTCCAACTAGTGAATTAAGAATTAAGAACAGCTTTAGGTCCAGGCATGGTGGTATATATATGTCTTTAATCCCAGCACTCTGGAGACAGAGGCAAGCTGACCTCTGAGTTTGAGGCCAGCCTGGTTTACAGAGCAAGTTTCAGGACAGCCAAGCTTAGACAGTGAAGGAAACCATTGAAAACAGAAAGCTGGTGAGGATATAATTGAGCAAGGTGGCCATGTTCCAGGCCCAAACAAGCAGCAGAACTTGGCAGCTTCAGCCACATGGTTCCATCTTTAGAGTCAAGGATAGAAGAAAGGCGTTATGGAACCTTCCTCTAAGACTAAGGAAAGCTGCTGAGACCAGGCATGTGTCAGGGGTGTCCCTGCATGGAGGCCCAGAGACGCCATTGTGTGAAGCTGTGAAGGTGGAGCCTGGATTGCCTTGGACACCCCAATATGTTAGAGATGCCAGAGCCGTGGGATACCTGCCCAGGAGAGCTGCTAAGAGGGAGAGGGACCGGCCTAAGAGGAAGGAGTAGGTTGCAGTCAATAACGCTGAAGGAGCTGGAGATCGGAAGAGCGTTCGACATCAGATGTGGAGATGCAGAGTTTGGAGTTTGCCCAGCTGGTTTTTGGTCTTGCTTTGGTCTAGTATTTCCTCACTATGCTCCCTTCCCTGTGTTTTGGAATGATAACATATATCCTTTGCTATTATATGCTGGAAGTATGTGAGCTGCTTTTTGATTTTGATTTTGCAAGGGGGTTACAGTTAAGAGCTTGCATGAAGTCTCAGAAGCGACTTTGAACTTTGGACTCTTAATTAAGTTGGAGACTGTTACAGACTATGGGGACTTTTGAAGTTGGACTGAATGCATGTTTGCAGTATGATATGGCTACAAGTCTATGGGGGCCAGGGAGTGAATGTGATGGCTTGAAAGAAAACGGCCCCCAAAAGGAGCAGCACCATTAGGAGGTGTGGCCTTGCCGGAGTGGGTGTGGTCTTGTGGGAGGAAGCGTGTCACTGTGGGGTGGGCTTTGAGGTTTGCAATACTTAGGGTCTGCCCAGTGTGACACACAGCCACTTCTGCTGCCTGCCATCAAGATGTAGGACTCTCAGCTCCTTCTCCAGCACCATGTCTGCCTGCATGCCCCCATGGCTTCTCACCGTGACAATGATGGACCTAACCTCTGAACTGTAAGCCAGTCTAGATGAGAGCTGCTGTGGTCATGGTGTCTCTTCACAGCAATAGTAGCCCTGACTGAGACACTGCACTGCCACGTCTCGTTGATGCAGTTCTGGAGACTGAACCCAGGTCTTGATGGATGCTCAGTAAGCCCTATCAACTGAGCTACACCCCCAGCTTCCCACAGGGATCTTTCTACACCCTAAGTGGCAGCTCCTGCCCTCCTGTGGCCCCCATTCTGGAGGGGAGCCCATGAGATGCACTGTTAGTCTAGCAGTTGTCCCGTCATGGCTGCGCTCTAGCCACGCCCCTATCTGTGCCCTCCAATCCACAGGCTTCATTTTCACCTCATTAGCATTTGCTCTTTGCTCTGCACAGATTACGTTTTTTTCTGAGATATGCCCCCCCATGGCTCTCCAACAGTCTTTTTTTTTTTTTTTTTTTTTTTTTTTGCAAAGAAACTTTTCTGACCACCCTCAAATACCTTCCTGTCACTGCCCACTCCTTATGGTACTGATGACTCATTTTCTCTAATCACAGCACTTTCCATGACCGTACAGACCCGGCTTCTTCTCCTCCCTGTTATGTCTCCCTGAGTCAGAATAAGATCGGACCTCAGTAGAAGCTGTGGGGTGAATGAAGACACACACTTCATTATGTTTCTCTCCCCCTCAAGCCCTTCTCAGGCTCTGTACTGCTCCTGTACTATAACAACGCCTGAAGTCTGTGGATCTTGCAGACTCTTCTGCTACCTGTCAAACCCTCGGGCCCCGGCTCTGCTCCAGGCTGCCCCCTTGCCGGGGAACACTGTTCCCTTTGCCAGGCCAACTCTTACCAACTCACCCCCGGTGCAAATATCCCTATCCAATAGAACCAGTGCCCACTGTAGGCCAGATCACCCTTCAGCCAGCCTCCTGTGCCTTCAGAAACTAGATCTTGGGAGCATTTGTCCCAATCCCAATCATGTTTCATTGTACAGTTATTCCCTTTTGCTTGGGTCTGTCTGTCTGTCTGTTGCGCAACTGGGCTTAAGGAATAACACCAAGAGCTGGTTCATTTAGTTCTTACAGACCTGGATTCAAATGTGATCCTGTGAACAGAACTATTAACCCCATTCATAGAAGAAGAAATTGAGCCAACTCTGGTGGTACAGGCCTGTAATTCCAGCTTCTCCAGACATGGAGGCCTGAGGAGCAAGTTCAAGGCCAGCCAGGGCTACACAGTGAGCTCAAGGGTAGCCTGGGCTATACAGTGAGCTCAAGGGTAGCCTGGGCAATTTGGTGAAACCCTGTCTCAAAAGGGTGTAGCTCAAGCCAGGTGGCAGTGGCACATGCCTTTAATCCCAGCACTTGGGAGGCAGAGGCAGGCAGATCTCTGTGAGTTCGAGGCCAGCCTGGGCTACAGAGTGAGTTCCAAGAAAGGCTCCAAAGCTACACAGAGAGACCCTGTCTCAAAAAAAAAAAAAAAAAAGTGTAGCTCAGTCTACAGTACATGTCTAGCAAATGGGCATCCCTAAATCCATCCCCCAGCAGCACAAAAAAGGGAAAAAAAAATAAAAATGGGCATTGTGCTGCACACTTGCAAACCCAGGTAGGGAATCAAGAAGGATGGGAGCTTCAGGCCAGCTTGGGCTGCACTAGACTTTATCTCAAAACAAAACAAAGTTGCCATATCTAACAACTGCCTAAAGCATGGATCTGAACCCTCTTGGCTCACCCTGTGACTTCCGTCACCACATCGCATGAACAGGAACACTTGGTTTGTCCCATGCCAGCTGTGTGCAGAGGCAGGGCATGTGGGTGGGCCATGCCAAGGATTGGTACTGATTTGGTTGCTTGTTCCCACAGGCAGCACCGGTGACCCTGCAGCTGCTCTTCTTGGATGGGGAGGAGGCGCTGAAGGAATGGGGACCAAGGGACTCCCTTTATGGCTCCCGGCACTTAGCTAAAATCATGGAGTCTACGCCGCACAGCCCCGGTCCCACTAGGATCCAGGCTATTGTAAGATCCATTCTTCTGGGCTCTGGAGCAGAGGCAGGGAGGGGGAAGGAGGGCAGGGTCAGCGCATCGGACAGCCTCGGCAGCCTCCAGCCCCGGACTCCTTCCCCAGGAGCTCTTTGTCCTTCTTGACCTTCTGGGAGCACCCAGTCCAATCTTCTTCAGTCACTTCCCCCGCACAGCGCGCTGGTTCCAACGACTGAGGAGCATCGGTAAGGAGGGTGGCCAAGGCCAGCGTAGGCCAGTCACCTGACCTCTGTGTGCTCATCTGCCTTCTCTCCCCACCCCTGGGCTAAGAAACTAGGACAGAAACAAACTGACCCTAGGAAGGTTGAGCGTAGCGGCTGTGACAGTCTCTTGTCCGAGACTGTGAGACTGGCCTAGTTTCAAACCCTGGGTCTGCCTGGCAAGACACTTCCTCTCTCTAATCTTCTATTTCTTTTTGTTTTCTTTTTGTGGTTTTTCAAGACAGGGTTTTTCTGTAGCCCTGGCTGCCCTGGAACTCTTTAGACCAGGCTGGCCTTGAACTCAGAGATCTGCCTGCCTCTGCCTCCTGAGTGCTGGGATTAAAGGCGTGCGCCATTACCACCCAGTTAAGCCTCTATTTCTTATATGTAAAATAGGCATGGTGATAATGCTAACAGAGCATAGTTGTGAACTGGTCATCACAGTGGCGCATGCCTGAAACCTGGACACTCAGGAAGCTGAGGCAAGGAGATCACAAGTTCAAGGCTATCCTGGGCTACATAGTGAGTTCCATGCTAGAATAAGCTGCCTGGTGGTGTTCACCTGTATCCCAGCACTTGGACGTCTGAGGCAAGAGAATTGTGAATTCTAGGCACGTCTGGGCTATGAAGCAAGACCTTATCTCAAAATAACTATCAACCTACATGGGTGGTACATGCCTGTAATCTCAGCTGTTGGGCAGGAGGATCAAGGGCTCAGTCATCCTCATCCACATCATCCTCATCCACACAGGAGTTAAGGTTAGCTTGCAGCTACATGAGAGCCCGTCTCTAAAGTGTCATAATAAATACATAGTTAAATTTAAAAGTTAGGAACTCTGAGGTCAGCGCCATGGCTCAGTAGGTAAAGGTGCTTGCCTCAAACGCCTGGCAGCCAGAGTCACTTCCAGAACCCATGTAAGGGTGGGAGAAAAGCGACTGACTCCACAGAGTTGTCCTCTGACCTCCACACGCACACAACCGCATCACACAGACAAATAATAAAGAAATAGGGGCATCCACCTTCTAGACAGAGGAGGATTAAATGAGACTAGGAATAGGAAGGTTGCCATTAAAAACAAAAAAAAAAAACAAAACAAACCATGGTGCTGGAGAGACGCCTCACCAGTGACCAGGGTGCTTTTCCACAGGACCTGGGTTCGAGTCCCAGCACCCATGTGGCAGCTCCCAACTGTAACTCCAGTTCTAGGGGATCTGATGCCCTTTGGCCTCCCAGGCACTGCATGCACACGGTACACACGTTTGTATTGTTTTGGGGTGACACCTCTGACTGCTGACTGATTTTGCTCTACAATCTTGCCTCTCCAGAGAAGCGCCTTCACCGTCTGAACCTACTGCAGTCTCACCCACAGGAAGTGATGTACTTCCAACCCGGGGAGCCCCCCAGCTCCGTGGAAGATGACCACATCCCCTTCCTCCGCAGAGGTACATAGTACAAAGCCTCTTCCCCAGGGCTGGGGGCTGCTGGCAAGTGCTCAGTCTTGATTTCTCCATCTGTGAAGTGGGGAGAATGGAGGGCGTCAAAAGTGCAAATGCATGCCCAGCGAGCCAACAGCGCTGCCTCTTGCGTGCCAGGCAAGCACTGTTCCATTTCCTCACTGGTTCCTTCAGTGAGTGCTTCCACGGGCAGGTGAGGAAGTAGGTGTCACAGATAGTCTAATGGGCCCCAGTGCCTGTCTCTGTGGTTACACAGGGAAACATTCGAAGAGCAGGATCCCAGTGAAATGTAAGAGCTAAGAGTACAGGTTCACCGGGCAGTGGTGGCACAAGCCTTTAATCCCAGCACACAGGAAGCAGAGGCAGGAGGATCTCCATGAGTTTCAAGGCCAGCCTGATCTACAGAACTGGCTCCAGGACAGCCAGGGTTACACAGAGGAGTCCTGTCTTAAAAAAACAAAAAAGGGCTGGAAAGATGGCTCAATGGTTAAGAGCACTGGCTGCCTTCCAGAGGATCCAGGTTCAATTCCCAGCACCCATGTGGTAGCTCACAACTGTCTGTAACTCCAGTTCAAGGGTTCCAACACTCTCACACAGACATACATGCAGGTACATCACCAATGCACATAAAATACAGATAATAATTAAAGCAAAAACAACAACAAAATCCCCAAACAAAAAAGAGATAAAGACAGGGTTTCTCTGTGTAGCTCTGACTGTCCTGGAATTCACTTTGTAGATCCAGGATGACCTCGAACTCAGAGATCTGCCTACCTTGGCCTCCCAAGTACTAGGATTAAAGGCATGCATCACCACACCCAGCTCTAACTACTTTTCTTAAACAATGTGTACCCTCTCACATTTAGAATCATTCTTCAGGGCTTGGGCATGTAACTCAGGGGTAGAGCACTTGCTTAGATGCCCAAGGTCGTGGGTTGAGAGGTTATATAAGTGCTAGCACTATCTTCTGTGGCTGTGGGTTGAGGGGTGCTCTGTAGCAGCTGTGGGTTGCAGCTGGAGGCCCTATCTCCTGTCCCCTCCAGGGGTCCCGGTGCTCCACCTCATCGCCACGCCCTTCCCTGCTGTGTGGCACACACCTGCCGACACTGAGGCCAACCTCCACCCGTCCACCGTGCACAACCTGAGCCGCATCCTTGCTGTGTTCCTGGCCGAGTACCTGGGACTCTAGCCTGCAGACCAAACCTTAGAAGGATCTTAACACTCAGCTGGGGACATGACAGGGGCATCTTGAGCCAGTGCAGGGTGGCCAGGCTCACCTCAGATGTATGCTACAACCATCTCAAGGCACTGCATTTCAAGGACATGCCAGGAACACTGAGGGTATGAGAGAGCCAAAAGAATATTTTTGGCTTCTGTCCTCAAGTAAACGGACTGGTCTAGAAGTTCCCAGGGACCAAATGATGTGTCATGGGCTGGTACCTGAACAGCACTACCAACCAAATGAATCCTCTGTGGCTAATGTTTTATGTCAGTTTATTTCTCAGAACGGCATCTTGCTGCTGCATGGACCCAGTTCTGACTCCCTCGTAGGCACGGGTTCAGAACTCAGGACGGAGACTAGCTCGGTGCTTGACCTTCTGCTTGACTCGGGCTAAGGGGAAGCGAAGGCCACAGTTCCCACTGGGAAACGACATTAAATGAGTTTGCACACTCGAGGTGAGATCTTGCAGGTTAGAGAGAATGAAGTGGTTCTCAAAGTGGAACCCCCTTATGAGAAGTACTTCAAATGAAGCTGCCTCAGATGATACTTTGGGAAATACTTAGTTTGACAGTGGGAATGGACTGAACAGACTACGTGTCCCTGGACCCAGGCAACCCTGGACCACCATTTCCTTTTGTAGAGCAAGCTTGCCATGAAGGAAGGGACAAGGGATCCACCTGACTCCACCTCCGCTGGGATTAAAAGCACAAGTCACCACACCCAGCACTATTTTTTGTTTTTGTTTTTTTTTAAAGACAGGGCCTAACTGTATAGCCCCGACGTCCCTGGAACTGTGCAGTTCATGTTGGCCACAAACTCCCAATCCTCCTACCCAGTCCTGAGTGCTGGAGAACAGGTTTCTACCCCGACACAGCCAGCCAGGGGTTGCTTCCTAAGTCCATGCAAATCAACGGGCTTCTAAGATCTACCCCAAACCCACTGAACCAGGACCAGTGGGAGGGGCAGGATAGTAACAGAGTGGGTATCGTGGAATTCTTTTTTTCGGTTTTTTGAGACAAGGTTCTTCTGTGTAACAGCCCAGGCTGTCCTGGAACTCACAGAGATCCGCTTGCCTCTGCCACCCGAATGCTGGGACTAAAGGCGTGCATCACCACCGACTGGCTTGTGGAATCCTTTAATCCCAGCACTCGGAAAGCAGAGAGGCAGGCGGACCTCTGAGTTCAAGGCCAGCCTGATATACAGAGAAACCCTGTCTCAAAAAACAAAAAAGGAATAAACATTTGTGGGACCTCCTCATTAACTGAATTTGGAGCACCTTATCATTAAGGCCAGTTTGGTGAATGTGGAGTTGCTTAGCAATTACACCTGAGGAGAACGTAGGTGTCGGAACCAGGTTGAGGGGCAGCTCAGTCACCTAGCACTTGTGAGCACGTGTGAAAAACCACCTTCATCTCAGTCAGATGGAGTGTTAATGAGGGTGTCCATTGGTTTTCCTGGTGAACTGCAGATTTCATGGGAATCTGAACCATAACTTAGGATATAAAATAAGAGCCAGGTGTGATGAATAGTTCCATTAATCCCAGCTCACCTAGCTCAAGGCCCACCTGGTATAGAATAAATGCAAAGCTGGACAATTTAGTGAGACCTATCTCAAAATGAGCTGAGAATGCAGCTTAGTACCTACAGCACCTGCCTAGAATCCCCCAGTGAGAGGCTGGGGTGTGGCTCAGTGGTAGAGCCCCTGCCTAGAATCCCCCAGTGAGGGGCTGGGGGTGTGGCTCAG